CACCTCAGCCTCCCAAAGGCGCGGGATTACAGGCTGAGCCACCAAGCCCGGCTTAGTGCTATTCTTTAATGACACAACTCACATGATCTCATTAGAGAGGAGTGCCACTCCGGTGTTTCTTGAGTACCTTCTGTGTACTGGGCAACTCCCTGGGGTTGAGAGCAACCCAGGACCAGGCTTTGCCTTTGGAGATTCACAGCCTTGAGTAGACCAGGTCGAGGCTGAGCGGAGGAGTCCATCCATCCCAGATCCGGCCTCAGGCACTCCCGTCAGAGGCCTTCCCTGACTCCCCAAGCCTAGGCCCAGCATTCCTCCTGTGGGCTCTGTGTCTGAGTCACTCCTAGATGTGGGCGCTTGAAGCAGGGCCTGTTCCTTAAGCCAACTGTCTGAGTGCCCCACCAGTTGCCCACGTGGAGTTGGCCTGCAATGGGCACTGTGGGGGGGTGAGGGAGTGTACATGCAAATGAGTGAGCGGGTGGGGCGTGACTGGCCAACATGCCCAAGCCACCCTGGGATGCGCCTTTGGCTAAAGAGAGAGAGAAGCCTGCGTTGGGTGGCTGGGTGGTGTGAGCCTGGCCGTGGGCTGTGGCTGAGGGCTGTGAGACCGAGGTGGCCTTCCAGGAGGCTGGGCCTTGGCTCTGCAGGTGGCAGCTGCGCCAGGGGCCACTCCGGGAAGGGGCTGGGGCCAGGACCAGACACACCTCGCCCCATCCCCGCCCACTGTTTTCCAGAACTGTTTTCCAGGCCGAGGCTGGAGCCCTCCTCCATGCTCCTGGACCAAGGCGAGTTCCTGAGCCTGTTGTGCTCGGTCCCGGGGGCGCCGCTGGCCAACTTCACCATCCAGAGGGGGGACACGGTTGTATCACAGACTCAGAATTTCTCCACGACAGCCTCGGCGTGGGACAGCGGCACATACACCTGCACCGCAGGCATCGGCCCCGTGGCCAAGAGAAGCAACGCGGTCCAGGTGACCGTGTGTGGTGAGTGCGCCCCGCTGGGCAGGGCGCCCATCAGGCCGGGAGGATGGGTGTCTGTCCCCAGCTACCACCCAGTCCGGCCTGGTGGGTCAGACTGGCAGGGCAGGACTAGCAGGAAGGGAGGCAGGTGAGAAGGGCAGTGGGGATGCGAGCGGCGGAGTTCTGCTCGTGGAAGGGCAGCTCTGCTGCACCATGCGGGGATGTTGCCATGGCCAGAGTCTCTGGCTGGGAGCAGGGTCCGCCAGCAGGGAGGGAGCATGCTGGCCAGGTTCCAGCTTCTCATCCACTGAAGGAATGGGATTCCAGTGGGCAGCTGGAGGTACCGGCCACCAGCAGCGAAAGTGCCCATGAGGTCTGGGCGAGAGGCAGGCTTTCCTGCAGAACACGGGAGCCGGCTGGGGACCGCACTGCCCGGGGTGGGGCCAGCTAGCTCTGGAACTGCCGCCGAGCCGTCGCTTTTGCGTACTGTCCAGTCATGGCCCTTCCATGGAACCCGCAGTGTGGCTTGTCCGGCTAGGACTTCGGCCTCAATGTAGCCAGGATTGTGGCCGGTTGCCAACCCCCACCCAACCCAAAGGGAGAGCGCGGGCACAGGTGTGCGTCGTGACATCCTGACAAGCTTTTGTTCCCGGGAGGGAGTCACTTCAGCAGGTTTATAAATTGATGGTGACTAGTTGAATTCTTGTCTCCTGCAGCATGCGATATACCATCAGGAGACTGAGGCACGGGGGAGCATTTGTCTTACAGTATATTCTGTTTCACTAGACACAATGGCTCATGCCTATAATCCCAGCACTTTGTGAGGCTGAGGTGGGAGGATGGCTTGAGCTGCGAGTTGGAGACCAGCCTAAGCTACAGAGCGAGACCCCCATCTCTGCAAAAAAAATTAGCTGGGTGTGGTGGTGCACACCTGTAGTCCCACCTGCTCAGGAGGCTGAGGCGAAAGGATCACCAGAGCCCAGGAGGTCGAGGCTGCAGTGAGCCGTGATTATGCCACTGCACTCCAGCCCAGCCTGGACGACAGTGAGACCCCAAGTCAAAAAAAAAAATACACACGCTGTGTTTGGATATTGTCATACTTTTCTTATGCTTTCTAGAGTCTTTGCTCAACATAAGAAAAGTACACAAGTGTGTATGTGTGCATGAGATGCTAAATGGGAATGTGATGTTTTCTTGGAATTTCTGTCTTTTTTTTTTTTTTGGAGAGACGAGGTCTCACTGTGTGGCCCGTGCTGGGCTGGAATGCCTGAGTTCACGTGATTCTCTCGTCTTGGCCTCCCAAAGTGCTGGGATTACAGGCATGAGCCGCTGCACCCAGTTGATTTTTATCATTCACTTTTAATGGTTTTCATTTTGTTTTTTAACATCGTTTCCTGTCCTTTGACTGCAGAGATCACCCTGCACTTGCCTTTATTGGCTGTTTTGTCTTCAACAGTTATGTCATTCTTTATTTTGCTGGTTTCAGCTCTCTTTCCTTCTCTCTTCTCACCATGCATGTGCACGCACACACAGGCACACGTGCACAGAGTCACACACGCGCCCATGCCGGCACACGCACACCAAGACACCCATGCACCCTCGCATGCACATGCAAACACGTGTACACACACACTGCCGGTCTGTCTTGTGGGGTTCCATGGAGACAGATGGAGCAGGTGGCATTTGAAATCGTGGCCGCGGCAGGGCAGGCCGAGCCTGGTCTTGGAGAAGGAGCCTGGGGGCCGGACGCCTTGCGCCTGCCCTCCGTGCCACTCAGACGGCTCCTCCCTGTTGTTCTAGAAATGCTCTCCCGGCCCCGGATTTCCCATGATGCCGGGCCTGAAGTCATCAGGGGCCAGAGCGTGGAGATCCACTGCCAGTCCACCAACGGGACTTGGCCTGTTTCGTACCAGCTCCGAAAAGCGGGCGAAGTCTTGGAGCGCCTCACCCAGGGCTCCAATGACCCTGCGGTGTTCCGGGACAGCCCGCCCACAGATGTGGAGTACCAGTGCGGAGCGGACAACTGCCACTCACACGCCGAGATGCTCAGCGAGGTGCTGCGGGTCAGGGTGGTCGGTGAGTCGCCATGCCACTTCGGGGTGTCGGTCTCATTTCTGAAGGCTGAGGGCGGCCCAGGGACTGTGGAGCCAGGAGAGGAGGCGGGAGGCTCTTATCCAGAGCAGGACCAAGGCCCACCCACGGGGTGGACTGTATTCGGAGGCTACTCGTGCGGCCAGGATGGTCTCTTCAGAACCTTCCAAGAGAACTGCTCAAACCCTGTCTGTGAGAAAAGCGCCCTGGCCTTAGGAAGCACAAGGCGCACGGCCGTGAGTCTGGGCTCCCTTGCGGCCCTTCCTTTTCAGATGAGCTGAGAGCCACCTGCGAGCTGTAGACCCCGTGCTCTGGCCACCGCTCCCTGGAGGCCATGGTCTCCTGGGGACACCAGCGTGCACCCGGGATTCTCATGCTCAGGGGGGACACAGTCTTGCCCTGAGGGTGGCCATCGCTCCTTAAGCCCTGTCTTGTGCCTCTCTGAAGGCCTCAGCAGTGCCACCACTGGCATGCCCCTGCTGTAGAAAGCCCGACGGGGTTGCCTCCTCTCTGTCTCCGGTTTCCTCCTGTTTGATCATTGCTTACCTCCACATGCTGGTGCGGACGTGAGCTGGAGGGAGGGATTCCTGTTTCTATTCATGTCTAGCCTAATAGTAGATATGTTTCCTCCAGTAACGTGAACACAAATTAAACCCCTAATGCTACGGGGTATACAAAAAAGGACGTATTCTTTGTTTTCTTTGTTGTGGCAGTGGTTGTTATTTTAAGACGGGGTGTCACGCCGTTGTCCAGGCTAGAGTGCCGTGGCGATATGGCTCACTGCAGCCTCAAACTCCTGGCCTCAAGCAATCCTCCCATCTCAGCCTCCCAAAGCACTGAGATACAGGTGTGAACCACTGCACCCAGTCCATTCTTTGGTTTTTTTTGTTTGTTTTTTGGGTTTTTTTTTGAGTTGGAGTCTCACTCTGTCGCCCAGGCTGGAGTGCTGGGCTCTGGCGATCCTTCCGCCTCAGCCTTCCGAGTAGCCGGAATTACAGGTGTGTGCTACCACACCCAGCTGAATTTTTGATTTATTGTAGAGGTGAGGTCTCGCCTGCCCAAGCGGGTCTCAAACCCGTGGGCTCAGGCAATCCACTCACCTCAGCTTCCCAAAGGCGTGGGATTACAGGCTGTGCCACCAAGCCCAGCTCATTCTTTGTTTTTAATAACATAAGCAGCACAGATTCTCCTGGCTTAATGATGGAGAAATAGCTGAATAATGGTATAAACAAGCATAGAAAAATGGTAGCAGCAGCACTTGCCACATGACCGGTGTGCTTACAGTGATGGCGATTTGATGTGGTGGTGGTAACGATGGTAGTGGCTGTGATGGTGGTGGCGGCAGTGGTTGACATTGGGTTGATAGGCTGGGTGTACCTACATAGGAGGATTGCTGCGGTCAGGAGTTCGAGACCAGCCCAGGCAACATAGTGAGACTCCATCCCAACCCATCAATCAATCAGGTTGATATTCATGGCTGAACTTACTGGCCTCTGACCATGTGCCCAGCCCTGCGTGGAGTCCTGGCGTGCGTCATCCCACATAGTGCTCACATGAGGCAAAGGAGACCCACGACTGTGCTGTGCTTGCTTATGATGAGATGACCGAGGCTGAGGGCCAGCAACTGGAGGGGTCTAGGTTTTGTGCCAGGCAGTCTGGAAAGTTGGTCTGCCTGGTGGGACCCCTGCTGCTCTAGGCCTGGTGGTCTCATGCCCCTGCACTCCCAGAAGGGTACCTCATAAGTCAGGATGCCATCTGCTGACCAGTCCACTCTCACACTAGTGGGGGTGTCTACTCGGGAAGATGATTCAGGATTCAGATTTTGGTAGCTGAACCGGGAGCCAGGGCAAGGGGAGGCTGGCTGTTCCATGGAGGGTAGGCCTAGGCCGCCGCCCCCAAAGGCCAAGGGAGCCGAGAAGTCCAAGTCAGAGGCGGACAGATCCTGTTTCTCAGAAAGGAATGTTTCTAGGGTCTGTGGACAGAAACCATGCCTCAGGCTGTGAGAGGAGGTGGCGCGTCCTCATGTTGCCCCCAGACACAGGACTTCTGCACCACAGGGATTTGCCAGTGGCAGGTTCATGGTGAGAATGAGTTTACGACATTGAGGCTGTTCTGACCCAAGGTGTGCTCTTAACAGGAGCTAAAGTTGAGATCTCAGAGGCTTTCCTGGAGCTGGGCTTCTCAGACGCCACATGGCGGATGGATGTCAGGATAGGTGGTGTGGCCTCCCCCGGGAGGGGCTGAGCTCTGTCTGGCCCTGCCAGAGTGAGGCTGGTGGGCTTCCAGGGGAGAACTCAGTGAGCAGGAGCGCTGTGTGGTCTGGAGCCAGGTGTGCAGGTGCCACGTGCTCGGAGACACACCCCAGGCACAGGTGATGTCTCCAGAGATTAGACAGAGACGAGAGACCGGGAGCTGAGCTCTGCTGGAAGTCCATATTTCAGGAGCCAAAAAAAGAGTAATTAGTAACACACGGGGGTGGAAGGTGGTGAGGCAATCCAGGGAAAGCCCCCAGGAGGGGCCGCAGCTGCAAGGAAGCCACTTCCAGCTTCTTCTGCAGGGGCCACGGGGTCAGGGTGGGGTCCTGGGACCTCTTGCGTCTCTGAAACAGGGTTGGAGGGAGTTTCAGGAGGGGGACGGAGGCCAGACATTAGGAGTGGCAGGAGCATGGGAGATGCGGATGAAGGTGAAAGGAGGCGCGGGGTGACGGTGATGACGACAAGGAGAGGACGGAGGAGACAGGAGGGTGAGGGTGGAGGGAAGTCCTCGGGGTGATGGGGAGGAAGCAGGGTCCGGATGACTCCGAGACTCGAAAGCACCAGGCACCTCTGTAGGAGAGGGAAGTCACTCACACACTCACACACACATGCACATGCAGACACACATACACACCGAGGTGCGCACATGCACGCACACGCAGACACCTGTACTCACAAGACAGGCACACCACATGCACACATGCACACGGGCAGGAACGGGCCCCAACAGAACATGGAAGCTGGTCTTCCAGGCATGCTGGGCATCCAGCAGCCCTCGAAGGCCAGTAGGGGTGGCGTCCTTGCGCCTGGCGCATACTCAGCACGTGGCGTGCCCCTGGGCTGACAGGCGGGTGGGAAGGAGGAGCCAGGAGGACTGGGTTCGAACCACAGCGCAGGGAGCCGGCCTGGGCCGCCTGCCTGGGTCCCGCCCCCTGCCACAGCGCTGTCCCTCCCGCCCCCAGTGCCGGTGGACCAGGTGCAGCTGTCCATCCTGCGGAGCGAGGTGGCATCCGGGGAGGACCTCGTGCTGCGCTGCTTTGTGAACAGGGCTTCCAGGCCCATCACCTACAGGTTCCACAGGGAAGGGGCGGCCGGGCCCTTCCACCAGGTGACGCTGAACGACACCCAGGCTTTCTGGCACAAGCCGCAGGCCAGCAAGGAGCAGGCGGGGGAGTACTACTGCACGGCCTTCAACCGGGCCAACATCGCCAGGAGTGTCCCCCAGAGCAAGACGCTTACGGTCAGAGGTGAGGGTCTCCATGCGGGGCTGTGGGCTCCTGGGTCAGGGCTGGGAAGCAAGCCCTTGAAGGAGGGGACGGGTCAGCTCCCAGGACGGGCAGGAGACCAGGGTCCTCAGGCTCTCGGTTGCCAGCAACAGAAGCCCACTCAGATTAGGCAAAGCAGAGGAACTGATTATTGTGAGGAACTGGAAGTATTTTGTTCAAATTAGCTTGAGTGAAAAGAGGAATTGATTATGATAAGGGCTTGGAAGCATTTCACATGGACCCAATTCCAAGTTGGCAGATAGACACCAACTGTCTCATCTTGAGTTGAACGTCCACCCACAGGCCATCTGTGGCCAAGGGCATTGGGTCCTGCAGAGCAGACATGGTGAGGGGATCCGGCCATGTGGGTGGCAGGTGGTTTCCTGGAGAGGGGGAGGCCGGGCACACCCCAAAAGAAGTCTACTACAGCAAAGCTGGTGTATGCCCCCAAAGACCAAGCTGGCCTCTGCTGGTGGCAGAAACCACCATTACTGCAACTACTGGCAGTGCAGTATCTCTCAGAGGTAGATAGATGCCAGGTAGACAGATGCCAGGTAAGATGCCAGGTGCGACACCAGGAAGACAGACACCAGGTGAGATACCAAGTGGACAGATACCAGATAGATGCCAAGTAAGATGCCAGGTAGACAGATACCAGGTAGATGTCAGGTAAGATGCCAGGTGGGCAGATGCCAGGTAGACAGACATCAGGTAGACAGACACCAGCTAGACAGATGTCGGGTAGATGCCAGGTAAGATGCCAGGAAGACAGATGACAGTAAGATGTTAGGTAGGCAGACACCAGGTAGACAGACATTAGGTAGACGGATGCCAGGTAGACAGATGCCAGGTAGACAGACACAGATTAGATGCCAGGTAGAGAGATGCCAGGTAGAAAGATACCAGGTAAACAGATGAAGATACCAGGTAGGCAGACATCAGGCAGACAGGTGCCAAGTAGACAGACACCAGCTAGACAGACGTCAGGTAGATGCCAGGTAAGATGCCAGGAAGAAAGATGACAGGTAAGATGCCAGGTAGACAGACACAAGGTAGACAGACACAGATAAGATGCCAGGTAGACAGACACCAGGTAAGACCAGGTAGACAGATGTCAAGTAGACAGATATCAGATAGACACCAGGTTGATAGATGCCAGGTAAGAAACCGGGCAGACAGACACCAGGTAGACAGATGCCAGATAAGACACCAGGTAGACAGATGCCAGGTAGACAGACACTAGGTAGACAGATGCCAGGTAAGACACCAGGTAGACTGACACCAGGTAACAGATGCAGGTAAAAGGCCAGGTATACAGATGTCAGGTAGACAGATGCCAGGTATACAGACACCACATAAACAGATGCAGGTAAGACTCCAGGGAGACAGATGCCATGTAAGAAGCCAGGTAGTTAGATGCCAGGTAAGACACCAGGTAGACATGCCAGGTAAGACTCCAGGTAGACAGATGCCAGGTATACAGACACCACATAAACAGATGCAGGTAAGACTCCAGGGAGACAGATGCCATGTAAGAAGCCAGGTAGTTAGATGCCAGGTAAGACACCAGGTAGACATGCCAGGTAAGACTCCAGGTAGACAGACATCAGGTAGACAGATGCAGGTTAGATGCTAGGTAGACAGGTGCCAAGTAGACAGACGCCAGAAAAGACGCCAGGTAGACGGACGCCAGGTAGACAGATGCAGGTAAGACACCAGTCACACGGACGTGCCCCGCAGTCTAGTGGGGGCCTGAGCATTTAGCATTTCCCTCTGACACAGGAAGAACCTTGCATTAAAAAACTCTTCGCTTCCAGTCTACCTCGCCCCGTGGATGAAAGGCCTCATCGCAATGGCTGTCATCGGGGTGCTCATCACAGCGCTGATCGCTGGGGCCAAGTGCTACCTTCAGAGGAAGGCCAAGGGTGAGCGTGCCTCTGTCCTTGCTCCTGACTGCTTGCTGTTCTTACCGGGCTCTACCATGGGCGAGTGCTGCTCCCCCCTGGGCTGGCGCTCGCTCTGGCCCCACCTCTGGGTCACCCAAGATCCTGGCTGGGTGGGCGTGGGGCTTTGCCGCCCGTGGGCTCCACTAGGCAAGAAGGAAAGCCATGTCTTCCTAGCTGGGTGAGCCAGGAGGATGAACCTCTGTGAGGCTAGATGCTGTCTCTGCGGGTTGGCCAGCCTGGAGCTGGGGGAGACACATGCACACACGGAACGCTTCCCAGTTCACCTGCCCATGGTGCCATGACTTCTGGCCCACGCTCAGATGGGTAGCTGGGACCACCTGCCGAGACGCAGGAACCAGAGTCAGCCACCCCAGCCATGAGAAGGCGCGGGGCCAGGACCCTCTGAACCGTCCTTTGTGAGCTGAGATGGGTCCCCTGGGGCGCCGGGAGGGCAGACGGGATGAGGAGGGCTCTGGGTCACCTCTAAGCTGGGAAGCTGCTGTCCTTGGGAAGACAGCCTGAAGCAACCCTGACACTGGTCTCAGGCCAGCGTGGAGCTATGGGCACCGGGGCTGACCCAGCTTTGACACTGGGGGTCACGTGGAGTTGGGAGACTCCGGCCTGCGTGTCTGGCTAGTTCGGTGCCCTTCGCATGCCTTCTCCTTCTCGTCTCACGAGCCAGCTCACTTCAGGCTGACACAGCCCGGAAGTCACATTTCTGGAGAAACAAGAGACCAAGAGAACGCCTTTGCCTCTATGTCTTTTGTTAAAGCTTGGGTACATTTGGTCTTCTTCTCTCTCTCTCTCTTTCTCTCTCCTTCTCTTCTCTTTTCTTTTCTTTTTTTTCTGAGTCAGGCTCTTGCTCTGTCACGCAGGCTAGAGTGCAGTGGCAGAATCACAGCTCACCATAGCCTCAACCTCCTGGGCTCAGGCAGTCCTCCTGCCTCATTCTTCCGAGTAACTGGGACTGCAGGTGCATGCCACCATGCCTGACTAGTGCTTGTATTTTTTGTAGAGACAAGGTCTCGCTATATTGCCCAGACTGGTCTCGAACTCCTGGGCTCAAGCAATCCTCCTGCCTCAGCTTCCCAAAGTGTTGGGATTACAGGCGTGAGCCACCCCACCCAGCCTCTTTTCTCTCTTTGTATGGGTTGTTCAATCTCCCAGAAAGTCTCATATGGTTAAAGAGTGTTTCTGTCTGGTGTGGACGTGGGTGCCTTGGACTGACTCTGGCTTTCTTTCTCTTTTTTGAAGCCAAGCAGATGCCTGTGGAGATGTCCAGGTGGGTGCACACGTAGGAGGGGGCGCTGCCGTGGGGTAGAGGCCAGGTCTGGAGGGAGATGCTGGCGGGAGCCACATGTTTCTTGGGGCGGGGGTGCTGCCAGTCATGCTGCGGGGGGCAGGAGCGGCCTGTATTCTGAGCGCACATCCTTCTCACAGCACCGTGTGTGAAATCCCCTTTTCCTCATGGAACGATCCTGGTAGTAGATGAAAGTTAAACACTTACTTACTTGGAAAAATACAGGTGGCCTTTAAAAAAAGTGATTTTACTCTCTTTACTGCTCTTGAAATCCAAATCCAGAAGCAAGTGGTTGCTGCGTTCCGGAGAGAAATGGTCACCGCAGACAAGGAATGCAGGGCGCAGTTGATCTGGTCAAAGGCACCTGCTTTCCGTGTGCCCTTTGGTCCTGTCCTGGCACTTGCTGTCACAGCAGAAAGTTGTGTCCCATGATCTCAGAGCTGAAAGCACATTCATTTTTCAAGTGAGAGAGTGAAGTTTTCCTCACTTTGGAAAACGCGTCTCATGATCTTCCCTTGATCATTTTGTGGGTTTGTTGATTTAAAAATGTTGCTTGTGTGTGTGTTTATTTTTCCTTGTTAAATTTCCCCTTAAGGCCGGCAGTGCCACTTCTGAACTCCAACAATGAGAAGGTGTCGGACCCCAATGCGGAGGCCAACAGTCACTACGGTAAAGTCCCGGTTCATCTTCCCCTGCTACCCACGCCCTTGGCCCTCTCAGGAGCAGAGTCTGAAATGACAGCTGGGCTGGGAGGGGAGCCCTGGCCCCCACGGGCTGGGGGGTCACTTCATGGAGTTGCCTGTGAGCGGTAAGTGGACAAAGCAGAAACTCAAGGGAAGGCAGGATGCTTCGTGCTGCCCTCACGCCTTCTAGACTGGCAGACAGAGGACAGCCACAGGGCCTGGTCCCCTCCCAGGGTGGTGGCCACCATTCCAGGGCTTTAATTCTCTGTTCGTAAGACAAAGGCCAGGTGCCAGGTTAAAGCGCAGGTGAAGCCCCTTCTCAGACGTAATCATGACAGCACAGGATGGCTTTACCTCAAGTTTGCCACAGAGGGAAGCCAGTAGAAAGGCTTTTTTAGGAAAGGCATTTTGAAAAGGTGCTCCGAGGAAAGATTGTCAGGCTCTGCCCAGGGGCTCCAGGTCCATCCATCGCAAGCAAGTCACTCACATGGTCAGCAGGATGCTGCTTCTTCCCAGAGAGAGGTGTGACCACACCACACCATGGTCCTGACCCAGACCAGATTTGAAGCCGTCTTCTTTCTTTGTCAACAGGTTTGGGAATAGGATGTCCACATGCTTTTCTTATCCTATAAACATCCCACAAAATAAGAAACTTTAGGACATGCCTTTTACAAAGAAATATGTACTTGAGAGAGATGTTTTTAAAGTTGAGCAATTCTTTCTTTCTTTTTTTTGAGTCAGAGTCTCACTCTGTCAACCAGACTAGAGTACAGTGACACTATCATAGCTCACTGCAGCCTTGACCTCCTGGGCTCAGGTGCGCCTTCTGTCTCGGCCTCCTGAGCAGCTGGAACTACAGGTGCATGCCACCACATGCAGTGGATTTCTAAATCTTTTTGTAGAGAAAATGTCTCACTGTGATGCCCAGGCTGGTCTTGAACTCCTGGGTTTAAGGGATCCTCCCACCTCAGCCTCTCAAACCACTGGGATTACAAGCATGAGCCACCACACCCAGCTTCAGTTTCTAATGAACTTGCGCACATTGAACAACTCACAGCAGAAGTTCCCCTCTCACAGGCTGGCATTAGAGAAAGGCCACATAGAGGGTCAAACGGAGCCCACAGGGGACCAGGAGGGGACCAGAACCCAGGGACACAGCTGCTTATCACCAACACCCAAGAACTCAGGCTCAACGCCCTGATAGTGGCACTTGAATTTTAAAAAGTGATGGAGACTGGAATCTTCACTGTCACGTACCCTGACTGTCATTTTCCATCCAGTTTACAGTGGCGATGTGGCAGATCACGGGATGAGACCACCACACGACAATAAAGGTGATTACCTCCATTTTACCCTTATTTTTCCAATAAAAAAGTATTTTACTAGAAACCTTTACATAAAAAAGCCCTGTAGGAAAAGAAAAGGAGAATGTGACGGCCTGTGGGTGATGTCCCACCTCGCTGCAGGGCCTGTGACCCATGTGGATGAGGGTGGGGTGACCAGTTCCTTCTCTGATAGGCCGACCGACCCTCCGTGGGGAAGTAGCCTCGGTCCCTGGAGTGGGCTGGGTCTCTCCAGGCTCCCCCCGCAGATGCTCCTGTGTCCCCCCTGGGAAAGAGCCTCATCCCAGGAGGGGACTGAGCATCGTCCAGAAACTCATCCTGACCCAGGAGGCTGTGGATGGAGGCCACAGTGTCTCTTCCTCTTGGGTAGTTGACGCAGAGAGTTGAGGACAGCTCACAGCAGAGGGAAAGGACCTAACAGTCTCTCAAATTCCTCCGGGCCCTGGGTGGCCGCCTGGAGCTGAGCCCCAAAGAAGTGAGGGAATCCTACCCAGGCCTCTTTCTGGGAGTCCCTGGCCAGGCGGGCATGGCTTCTGTAGTGCGGGAGGAGCCTGGCTCTTTGGCACTTGAAAAGCAAAGCCATGAGGTTATTTTGAGTTGGGGCAAGCTGCTTTCCCAGATGTCACGGGGCACCCTGAGCTCACCCGTCGGCTTGTGGCCTCAAAGCCCCTTGGGGCAGGCAGCCCACCCCCCACCCCGAGTGGGCGGTCATCCTGTGTGCTCGGCAAGGGGGCCTTCCCAGCAAGACTGAGCCAGGTGAACCGCCAGGGCAGTCCTGGCTGCCCATCTTCCCACAGTGGAAATGGGCCCAGGCGAGGGTCCCTCCACGTTGGGTCACGGGAGTCAGCGGGAAGAGCCCTGGCTCTGAGGGCCTGTGTGCCCGACGAGGGGGCCGAGTTGCCTTCCCCAAGCCTGTGTCTCACGGCCCCCAAAGGGTGGGGCACCATCGTGGCTTGAAGGAAGGCTTGGATGAGGCCGGAACCTGGGAGAGCTTCTGGGTAAGCTGGGGCGCTGTGGTTTCTCGTGGCAGAGGCCCCACACGCAGATGTGGAGTACACAGAGGTGGAGGTGTCCTCGGCCAGGCCGCACCCAGGTGAGCAGGCTCTCGGCGCAGGGTGGGCCCAGGATGGGGTCCTGCCTGGGGAGGGTGTGCAGGCCCCTCGCTCGCTCCCAGGGCCCAGCAAGGCGGGAGCCTCAGGCTCTGGGCTGTGACCCTTCCCTGCATCTGGGGACGATGCTACTGACAGCCACCAAGTACTAGGCACTCCCTGCATGCCGGGCGACTGGGGGGCGTGAGCGTATGTTCCATGGAGACAGAAGGCGGCGACTGTGGTGTGCCCAGCTTTCTCCCAAGGACCCCTCGCCCCACCCGGGTGTTCCTCCAGTTATGTGCGCAGACCCAGTGCATGGACATTGAGTGTGTACGTTGGCTCAGCACGTGTACATTGAGTTTGAGTCCCGGGGCTCAGCTGTTCGGCGGGACGCCCAGGTGAAGGCTCTCAAAAGCCCGGGGCACCGCGTGTGAGCGTGAAGGTGGCGCTAGCTTACACCTCGCGCTGTGTGCGGCCCTTCAAGGGGGAAGCCCCTACTCAGGTCTACGCTGGGGAGACCAAGGCAGGGGTGCTAGTCCACAGCAGTCGGTTGCAGCAACACGCGTCTCCCATAGTGCCCCCACCCTGCTCCTCGACACCCAGAGGGCTGCACACACAGGGAAGCAGTTGCTCATGGCCTCCTGCTGCCGGGATGCTCCTCAGGCCAAGGATTGTTGGCCTCCCTGCCTCCAAGGTAGAGCCAGGCTGCATCCCCTTGGCCAGTCCGGCTGGGTCCGTCTTCCAGGCTGAGCCACGGGCAACTGTGTCCTGGAGCTGCCTCCAGCTCCGTGATCAGGAAGAGTCTGGGATTCTTCCTTCTTGCGTGAGCACGGTCCAGGAGCCCTGCACCAGGCGAGTGCCAGAGTGCTCCTGACAGCAGACAGGGCTGTCCCCTCGGCACCTGGGCTATGTGCGGCATCACAGGGCACTGTTCCCAGAGCTCACGGGTGTATGGCCCTGGGGTTGTGCACTGGGTCTGGGTGGGGTGAGGGTGTCCCCTCTTGGTGTCATGCAGAGAGGTTCACCTGTTGAGATGACAGTGTGACCAGGCCCATGACGGAGCAGCCACTGTGTACGCAGCAGCAACAAACACGGCCCTCCCTCTTGGAGGGTCTCGGGAACAGAAACCCAGCAGGACCAGAACTGGAGCCTGCGGAAGGGGGCGAGTGTGATGACAGGTGTGACCAGTGCACTCTTCTGGTCCAGGTGGCCCACGGAGGCCTCTTCGAGGGAGGCTCTCTGAAGGAGGCATTTGAGCTGGGCCTGGAGGGCTGAGGAAGGAGGTGGCCCCGGAGGCGGCATGGGCTCGTGGGAGATCTGGAGGGAGGCCTTCATGTCAGCAGAGTGGGCAGGACGAAAGGAGGCCGAGGAGGCCAGGGGAGCAGGCCTGGCGCCTCCTTCCCAGTGCGTCTGAGGGGCTTAGCGAGCCTTCCAAGGCGGGGCTGGGAAGGAAGACGTTGCCCCCTTCTTTACTGAGATCTTGAGGCTGGCCTGAAAGGTGGTTGAGGGCAGCAAGAGGCCAGGCTCGGTGGCTCAGCCTCTCATCCCAGCACTTTGGGAGGCCAAGGCGAGTGGATTGCCTGAGCCCACGGGTTCGAGACCCACCTTGAGCAACTTGGCAAGACCTCATCTCTACAATAAATTTTTTAAAAAAATTAGCCGGGCATGGTAGCATGCACCTGTAGTTCCGGCTACTTGGAAGACTGAAGCAGAAGGATCACTGGAGCCCAGCAGGTCAAGGCTACCATGGCCATGAGTGTGCCACTGAACTACAGTCTGGGTGACAGAGTGAGACTCCAACTCAGAAAAGAAAAGAAGGTGGCAAGAATAGGGGCAGAGAGACTATTGCCGCCTGGCAGGGCAGGGAGCCAGATGCCAGCAGTGCCTCCAGTGGTAGGAGAGGCAGACCCCGGCACAGATGCAGTCGGGCTGGGTGGGGAGGCAGGTGCGGTGGCCATGAGGTCCGAGGCAGAGGATGGGCTTGTGATGACATCTGCCTGGCTCTGACTGGTCCCGAGACACCTGCGGAGCCCCAGGAGCGCTAGGGAGCACGTCTGCATGGTGCGGGGCGGCAGGTGGGCTCCACCATCCTCCCTCTGTGCCCAGGCCTCCACAGCTGCCTGCGTGGGCATGGCCCCAGGGTGGCTCACTCCCTCTGACAAGGACAGCAGGGTCAGCCTGCCCAGGGCTGGGGGGCTTGGGCAAGATCCCCCCTGCCTTCTTCCTTGCCCCCTCCCCACCCTGAGTGCAGGTGGATGGAGACTCCAGGCGGCACTGGTGGCCCTGGCACCACCCTGCTTGGCAGAGGTGGCTAGGCAGAGTGGGGTTGTCCGGGGCCAGGAGTTTGGACTTAGGGCAACTGAGGAGGGCAGTAGGGAGCAGGCTTTTCTCCGCGAGTGTCCGCCTCCCTTCCTTTGGAAAGCGTCCACGTCTGGTTTTCTTCTTCTTGCTCGAAGGTGGGAGCAGAAGGGAGACAGGGAGGTGGGGAGGCCCTGGGACGGGCCCAGCATGCGTGTCTTCCTGGCCAGCTGCAGGTTGCCGCCACCTGGCCCAAGCCCTTTCCCGGGGTGCACGGAGGCCATGGGGGCTCTGAGGGCCAGTGCAGACCCACAGCGAGGTTCACAGATGCCATGGAGCGCTTCTAGAAGGCTCCAGTTGTGTTTCTGGGCCCGGCCTCCTCCCTGGCAAGGAAGGGGCTTTTCGGGTTCAAGGTCTCGGCCTGCTCCTGGCCAGTGAGGTTCCCTGTCCCCACCGCCTCTGGCCAGTGAGGTTCCCTGTCCCCACTGTGGGGGAGGGGGTGGGTGATGTCCAGCGCTGACCCTGGCTGGCGGCTGGCCAAGCGGTGGCTGGGGAGGAGGGGCGGGAAGGAAGTCGCGAGTCCCCGTGTGTGGCAAGTGTGCCCAGGGCAGGCTGCTGGGAAAGCCCCGCGGCGCTGAAGCCCCGGAGAAGCAGAAGCCAAGACAAAGCCCATCCGGAAACATCTGACAGCAGGGACAAACAGCTCGGCCTGCGTTTGTCATCAGCAGGCAGCTGCAGCCTGAGCATGGGGTGCAGGGAGGGTGGGGCGTCGCAGTGGGCTGCATTCCGTATGGAGTGGGTGGGTTGGGGACACAGTAGCCATAGGGGGAGGGGCCGAGGGGAGCCGCACCCTCATTCAGAGCGGGCAGGTCAGGTTCTCAGTAGAAACGGGGGGCAGCTGCACCCCAGAGCTCTGCTGAGCACTCCTCCTTGGAAGTGAAAGGACTTGGGTGGGGCCACCCAGGTCCCGAGGGGCTGGGGCAGCCCAAGGTGGCCAGAGAGGACGCCTGGCAGCCCTGGTGGTCCCACAAGGTGCCCGGTCCTGGCTGGACACGGAGGTCTGTCCTTAGATGCATTCCCCGAGCTCCTACATGGGGCTGGGCTGGAGGGCAAGGGGTTCCCCCAGGTGACCTGCCCCCCCATGGGTGACCCCCCCAGGTGAGCCAACCCCAGACAACCAGCCCTCCAAGGCAGTGGCCCCCAGGAATCTGGTGTCCACGTGTTACAACGTTAGAGCTGTCTGAGTACTGTCTGCCTCGCAGCCTGTGTTCCCGGGGGCTGGGACAGGCCTGGCATGCTGTCTCCTCGCAGGTGCAGGCACGCAGGTATCTGGGACTCGCCGTGTGAGTGCCTGGCCTAGGCATGGTGTCCAGAGCAGGTGCCTGGAGAGGTGGAAAACCCCCACGGGATAGGAAGCCCGATGGCCTCCCTCCATGGAGGGTGTTGGCAGCTGTGCCAGAGGGGTGCCAGTATCCCAGCAGCGCCAAACCCCAACTCCCCTCAGGTGCCCTGGGGAGTCTCTATGAGTCCTGGTCACCCCAGAGCCCAAGTTCAGTCATGGGGTCCTGAGCCACCTGCTCCCTCGTCCTAAGTGGTCCTGACACAAAAGCCGCTGTCCGCATCGCTGCAGGCTCCGGTGGCAGTGCAAGCCTGGGGGGACATGCTTGCGGCCTCAGCCATAGCCTGGGAGGTGCCTGAGTTTTCAGGGGTGGCCGTGGGGACAAGCAAAATCAGGGCATCGTGGGCACCCATCACCACCAGGGCACAGCGCGTGGGCATGTGGAGGAGCACGGAGGGAGCTGTCCAGGCTCCCAGAGGAGGGGGCAGGTGGCGCCAGCCGCGGAGGGGAGTGTGTGTGTGGGGGGGGCTGCCTGGCGGGCGGGGGCTCCCACAGCACCCAGAGCACACAGTCAGGTCTGCCGCCTTCCCTGGAGGGAACTGCCCACAGGCACTGATCTGCGTCAGGAAGCACCTGCCCTGCCCGGCCCCTCCCACGCCAGCAGAGACTGCCTGACCCTTGCATGGGTGATCTGCTGGGAGGTGGCAGGCTCCATCCCATATCCTCAGGTGTGTGGGTGTGTGCATGTGTGTGGGTCCCGCGCACGTGTGTGTACACATGGCATGCGTGTCTGCCTACTGTGTATGTCACACTCGATGTGTGTGCGCCATGTGTGCACACACTACAGGCCCGATCACGTCTTGTCGGAGTGTACAGCGTGTGTGCACATGTTTGTGTATGCACGTCCTGTGCCCATGCCTCGGTGGGAGCGCACAGGTAGGACAGGCGCTCAGTCCTTGCCCCAAGTCTCCCTGTTGTATGCACTGCCTGGCTCGGTCCCGTCTGTGGCTCCGAATGGGTCTCACCCGAGGGCCCCTACCCCGGGGGCCCAGCAGGACCCTGGGGAACCACGTCCGAGTGCTGCAGACACGGTCCTGGGGGGGGGGCCAGCCTTGCCACAGGCCTCCTCCTGCCCTGGAGCCCGGGGGTGACTGACCCGAGCCTGGTCCCTCTTCCAGCTCCAGGAGCAAAGGGCACAGAGACAGTGTACAGTGAGATCCGGAAGGCCAAGCCCGGTGAGTGACCCTTCCTGAGCCCCCGCCGGGGGCGCTCCCATCCCTGGGGGCCGCGAGAGCAGGTGTGGCCTTTCACACCAGGGTCTGGCCCCCCTCTCGCCCCCCAAATGGACAGGTCGCCTGGCCGAGCGTGTC